TTTTTAGTTTTTATCGGTACCAGGGATCGAACTCACGACTGCCTGCTTGCAAGGCAGGCGCTTATGCCGCTGAGCTAAATCCCCAGCCCCTTAAAACATACTTTTAAAAATTCATCCATATTAGTCAGTTAGTAGGCATAATGTATTTGTCATTGTCCAGAAATTTGACTAGAGCATGAATGATTTTTTGTGGCAAAGAAAATGGAAAAGCAAACTTTTTTGTAGTGTTTGAATTAGAAATTAGCATCTTTAGTGGTTTACTGGTAATCAAAGCAATGTTGAGTCTGCAACATTGACAGATACCAGGCAAAGGAGCTCTCTTGGTCACTTTCTTCTCACTTGAGAAAAATATCCAATGCAAAACTTAAATGGACAGAAGTTATTCTGGCTCAGGTCCTACAAGCTTCACTCCATAATTCCAATATTCCACAACAAAAAGTATGGTAGAGGAAGGCTGCCAAAAACAATATCCTTCCAGTTCGTGCCCTAACTCACCTCTAATCAACACCCATCTCCTAACAGAACTCATTAATTAATGAATCCACTGAGTATAGAACCTCCATGTTGCAACACCTTCCAAAAGTCTCACCTCTGATACAATTGAACAAATAGTTGAGATCGGTTTGCCAATGGCTATGAATGAATCCACTGAGTATAGAACCTCCATGTTGCAACACCTTCCAAAAGTCTCACCTCTGATACAATTGAACAAATAGTTGAGATCGGTTTGCCAATGGCTATGAAACATGATGCATAAAATGAATTTATCTGAGAGATTCAGAGAGAACCCAGATAATATTGCTTGAATCACTAAATCTATTTATTTCTGAAATTGTTTCTTTTATTATTTTAGCCATGCGAGAGAATAAATTTCAAATTTTGTCTAAATAGAGTGAAAATTCTTTTATCAGAATGGAAAGTAACATTGGTTCATAATTTACACAAGCAGAATAAACTAGAATACAAAGACACTGTGTAAGAAAACAAAACTTTAATCACCCACAAGATATTGCAGGAAAATTTTTGAAGGCTCCATATTTTTAGAAAACATTATAAAAACTCTTACTTAAAGTTAATGATTTGAGGGTTTCTTGCATTATATTAATTGTTATTATTCAAAAACATCATATTATTTTGTGCTGATACATGTTTCCCTGTAATAGAATCAGAATTATTACTTCAATTGCATGAAATTTTGACCAAAATTTCTCATATATTTTGTTATGTAGACCTTATATTTAGGGTCATTTTTGTGAATGTTTCCTGTTAAATTATATCTGGATGTCTTTCTCAAACCTGAAGTGCTTGCAGGTAGGGCTTTTTGAAGTCCGGGGACAATGGATTTGTGACACTGGATCCTAGGGGAGTGATTCTACTGAGATGTTTAGCACAGTTATGGGTATGAATGATCAACTTACTAAAGAGGAAAGACCTACTCTGGGTCTGGGTGGCACCAACCTACAGGCTTGCAGCCTGGATGAACTACAAAGGGAAAGAAGAAGGAAGTCCTGCTGCTTGCTGCCTACTCTGCCAAGGACTGTTTCTCCTCTGCTATGACCATCTTTCACAGCACCCTGCATGGAGGTCAGCTGAGTATGTACTGAAACCTCAACACACTATGAGTTCAAATAAACCTTTCTTTGTTTAACTTGTAGGTATGAAATATTTTATATCAGCAACTAAGAAACATCCTGATTTCCACTTCTACATGTATTATAATATCATTTAAATGTACTCAATCACAATAGCCTTTTTATTTTTCTTATCTGTCTTGTTATTGTATAGTTTTAATAACAATCAAACTTCAAGATTAAGACAAAAGAAATGTTCCCCATTACAAAAGAAACATGGACTGCATGTACAATTTATAGGACACCAAAGATTTTTCTATGGATTCGTAAAAATTAGACTTCAATAAGAAATTATTGTGTTAATATAACATGAAGCTAGCATTACTCATATGTGACACAATTATGAGGCAAAAGATGTTTTTATTAACAATTTTTAATTTTGTTAATAATTTCCTTTCATCTTTCTTTCTTTCTTACTTTCCCTTTCTTTCTTTATTCTTTTTTCTTTCTTTCTTTCTCTCTTTCTTTCTCTTTCTTTCTTTCTTTCTTTCTTTCTTTCTTTCTTTCTTTCTTTCTTCTTTCCTTCCTTCTTTCCTTCCTTTCCAGAGATCAGACTCATGACCTTGCACTTCCCAGCCAGGTGCTTCTTCCACTGCCCTAAGTCCCCAGCCCATAATAATATTCTTAATTTTTAATAAGAAATTCAACTTCCTTATAAGTTGCTCATGTTTTTAAAATTCTAGTGAACAGATAAGTATAAAAGTACACATTATAAAACCACCGGAGACATGTTTTAAAAGAAGCAGATAGGATAAATTTAATGAAAAGCAAAGAAAAAAGATTATAACAAAATAAGACAGAACTGAAACTTTTATGTTTACTATGGAGACTGGAATATTTGTGAAATTACCCTACTAAAAATGACTCTAAACAAGTTAAAAGTAAAATAATAATATTTTACTTTTAATAAAAATTGTAATATATATACTTTTACTTATTAATATATACTTTTATTATAAAAAGAAGAAAGAAGAAGAGAAGAAGAAGAAGAAGAAGAAGAAGAAGAAGAAGAAGAAGAAGAAGAAGAAGAAGAAGAAGAAGAAGGTCTTAGAAGAAATCATTTAAGAAACTTTACCTAAAAATTACACTTGTACTTTAATGTTCTAGAAATGAGAAATGAAGAGACAATAAAAATGACCTACTTATTGAAAATAATTGAGAATCATAAAAAATATCCATAGTAGTCCCTGAAAAATTCTTAGAAAGCCTAAATAACTGAAGCAAATATAAAGGGTAGAAACTTCTAACTAAGTTAATCAAATATCTCTATCAGTGTACTTCCATTTAGAGGGCCTGAAAAACTTAGACAAATATGAGAGTGTACAGACTTTTAAATATACTAATCAAATATTTCTGCTATTTTATTTCCATTCTGTGATGTCATATAATTCCACTTGTTTTTACCTTTTGACAGTTACTAAGCTTATAGAAGAAATTTCACACATTATCCTTGTTACTGAATCTGTACAATGTAGTTTCATAAGAGAATTAATGGCTTAAGGGGTAATGGGTGGAAATAGAATGTTATTATTTTGTAAATGTTTATGGTAAGTGAATATAATCCTGGATGTTGCCTTAAGTGCAAATTTAATATATTTTGAAAATTTTATTTGTGAAAGACATGGGAAGCCATTACTCAAAATAATATACGTTAATGTATTTAATAAACTCAAAACCACTACCTAAGTATCTTCTAAGTAGGGAAATGATTTCAAGAGTTAGAAAACAAGTTAAGCTAGTTATAATTGATTCAAAAACTGAAAAATACACATGATATTTGCCCATGGGAATTATAACACTAGATAGATAATGATAACTGTCTCTAAACAAAATTGCTAAATGTTATATTTCCAAAGCAAAATAAAAATGTTTATGAGAGATTTCAGTGAATATTCTTAGAGTACAAAATTTTGAGCTTGCCCTTAGAACATTCCTGTGGTAACAAAAGATGAGACAATACACTCAAAAAGACAGAAAAAGTACAAACATTGAACGTGTGAGGCATTTAAAAATAAGATGGCGATTTCTATTAGAAATGCAAATATAGGTTTTGAAATTGAGTAATCATACAAAGAGTAGAAATTCCCTTTAAGTAAAGATTCATAGGGCTTGAATACCTTGCAGGAGGAAAACACAAAATTTTGCTTTATTTAGCATATCACAGATACTGTACTAATACATATATGTAATATGTAGTAAGTGTTCAAATTTATTTTCCAAAACCTCAGTTAACACTTTTTCCTAACTGAGTAAGCACTTTTTTCAATTTATACTATCAAAAATGCTATATGATAACCTGAAAACTGAGCTGAAAATGTAAATGGGAATTAAACACTGAAAAAACTTCAGGACACTATAATATACATTCTTGCATTATTTTTAATTCTGTAAAAGTTACAAAACACAAGAAATGTTTAAGCAGGAGATTTGCATAAGAATTCTAATCACAAGAGGTTATAGGAAAAAAAATATTAGGAAATGTAATGTATGAGCCAAATAAGTTAATTCCATTTGTTATAAAGAGTGATAGGTTAGCTAATTTGGTGAGTTTGTTTATAGTAATAGTTCTCAGGCCTACATGGAAATTGTTCAATAACCACATTTCATCCCAGAATCATTATATCAAAATTCTGAGAAAAGAAACAAACAGAAGATTAAAACTACTAGCTTATGAAGTAGTCTAACAAATAAAATTGTCTACAAGTATTCTTTACTAACAGTGATTAGATTGTCTTTAATTTTAAGTGCAGGAGATAATGTTAATGTATTAATTGTCCAATGATCACACTCATCCCAGAGAAGTTGTATAAAAACTCTGAGAAAAGAAACAAGCAAATGTTTAAAACTACCCTCATGAACCAATCTAACAAATGAAATTATCTATAAGTATTCTTTACTAACACTGATTAGCAAATCTTTTTTATTTTTAATGTTAATGTGCTAAACTTCAAACAAAATTAGTAACCCCTTGTTTTATTAATGTCATTTCAGAATTTTCCTTAATCTATTATAATTTTTGTGTTCTTGTTCTCCTCACATTGCAGTCAGAGTGAATTCCTATGTATTCATTTGGAATATGCTTTCAAAGTGATAAGTTAAATCTTTATTCTTCAAAAACACACAGACTAACAAGTATTTAGAGTGAGACACAAATTAGACAGTAAGTATGATATAAACATCATTTCTTGAATTTACTAAGTGCATTTCATATCAGTTAAAATGACTTAGATATCTATATTACATAACACAATGAAAATTTAATAATTATTCTCATTATGAATACAAAATTTTGTATAAATTCTAAAAATAAATTCTTTGTTTCTATATATGAAGTTGAATTAATTTTATGCAAGCTTATTATCAAATATTTTGATACTTATAAATTATACAATTTTTAAAATTTAAAAAGACTTCAAGAGACCATCATGATATACTTTCTTGCATTATATTTAATTCTATAAAAGTTAATGTGACACTAGAAATGTTTAATCATGTATAACTTTGAACAAGCTTTTATTTTTTTAATAAAGAAATGGGGTAATACAGTGCTAACTCATATGGTTTTGTGAGGGAGAAGTGAGAGAATCCAATAAAGTTTTTGGCTCAGTGCTTGTCACATAATAATTGCTAAATGTTGGGCACTATTATAACTATTTCTAACTGTTTAGAAATTAAAATTTCAGTTTGTATTTAACTATTATAAGTAACAGTTAGAATTATCACATCTTTGTTCAAATGGTTTCTTTTTCTTGTTGTGTCAAATCCTTCCAAGAGAAAAAAAGCATTACTAGGTCAAAAGGTGTGATCCTCCTTTTGTTTTTGTGCCCAATTGTCACATCACCCTTTAGCAAGGTGGTTCTCACTGAACAGGCTGCTGCCCGCTGTTTTGGAGATGCCCAAACTCCTGGACCCTAAGGTTGCCCTGAGGCCTCTCTAGGTGACTGGAGATGAGCAGAGCAGGGGACAGCCAGGTGGGGCCTGGTGGTGGCCAGCCTGGGCCTTTCCAAAACAGGACTTTATTAAAGTCACCTCCTCCAGGAGGCCTTTCCTGGCCATCATTTCTGAAGGTCCAGCCTCACCTCTGACACTGCATTTCCTCTTGGTAGTCTCTTTTCATCTTCTCCTCAGGCCTGATCTACCAAGGTGGATTTGTCTTGCATATTGTCTGTGGTCTCCACAATATGATAAACACTCAAAGACAAAGATTTTATCCAGCACTGAACAGTGCCTGTCACACACTAGCACTCACTGAGCACATTATCTAGCTGTTGAATAAATGAAAGCGTTTTAAACATAAATGAGGTCAAAGTGTTAAAAGCATCCACCAGCTATGATCTCTGAGGGATTCACTCTTTTCTGGACAGCTGGGACCTGCCGCAATGTAGCCCTTGTTTCTATGAGGCCCTTTCCATTGCTAGGGACAAAATACCCCTAACTAAGTGCCATAAACCACTCACTTTATCACATTCAGAAATTATGCAGTCAAATTTAGATTAGGACATGGTAAGGGGCTTGTGAAGATTGAATGGCTGTGGTGACTCAAATGGCTGGTGACCAGAAGCATGCAGAAGCTTTTATCCAACCTCCTCCCCCAGTACCACCCTTCGTACTGAGCTACATCCCTAATTTTTGCTTTTTAATTTTCAGATAGCATGTTACTAAGTTATGCAGGCTAGGGTTGAACTTAAAATTCTCCTGCCAGAGCCTCCCAGAATGTTGATGTTTCAGGCATGCACTGACATGCTCAGCTTGTCTATTTATTATTATCTGTGTTCTTAGCTATTTTATTCTTCTAGGAATAAATGCTATAAAATGTGATACTGGTCATGTCTTCCCTATTTCACATTTGGTCATCTCACATTGGTAGTTTAGAAAGACCATGACAAGAGGTTCTGTGTTTGTGTCTTTGTAGTGCTAGAGATGGAGCCCAGAGGCTCACATATGTGAGGCAAGTGCTGTACTGCTGAGCTATACTCCCAAGCCTGGTAGAAGTTTTATATCCTAGAAATGAAATGCCACATATCAGGGCCTGACTTGCAGTTTCACTGACTGACTGCAGTCTTAAGAAAATGAGGAAGATTAATGTTAAAAATGTGCTTAATTTAAAAGTGTGTCATGTCTGCACCTGTTATGCCAGCTGCACACAAAATGAAAATGTTCTTCTCCTACCCCAAAACCATCATTATTCCATTCAGCAAAAAAGTCACTCATATCATTGATGAACAAGTAACATACAGACATAAGTCCAGATATTTGAACTTTTGTCTTACTACTTAATCTAGAGAAAAGTATCATCCAGCCCTTGTGTTGGAACTATAGGAGTTTGTCAGGTGGGGGCATAGGTCAATTATGGATTCAAAAATATAAAAAGCATCCTGTGAATTGATTGGAAAGAGCCCTGTGTTTTTACTCTTTATAACTTGTGTGTTACATGCCTTTTACAACAGCACAATTTGTAATACACATATGTGTACATGTAATACATATATATATATATATATATATATATATACATAAACAAATATGTTGGTTATTAAACATTTACTAACACACTGTTGTTAAAATCTCACACTCCATGGGCCTTGTGCTTTCAACTCAGATGTGTCGATAACATTCAAGCTCATAGTCTCGCTGCCCTTGTGTAACCTTTCGGGGCGATTCACCACTGCTCCACACAGAGCGACTCCATGTTGGGAGGTGGTATTCCTCCTGCATGGTCTACTCATTTTGGGAGCGTGAAGGGCTGTTCTGTGTCTGTTCTCCCCCATCAGTGCAGTTGTACTGAGTGAATAAGCTCTCTAAAAAGCAAAAACAATGCATCCTGAATGGCTATAGCTTCCTCACATCTAAAAAATGCAGACTATCCACTTGGGGTAGATAGTACGTGGTCTGATTGGGGTAGGACAGGAAGTGATTCCAAGCGGCCAAAAAGAAAGTTTGAAATGCTCTGTGTACATGCTCATTATCACCCCTTGGGTGATTACAAAACTGTCTGCCATGTCATCACCATTTGCTATCCTGTCCCACTCTTATGATTTCCAGAAAATAAAAACAAATCAGAAAGTAACTGACCACCTCAACAAACTGTCCTTGTTTACATGTCATTACAGAGTAGCTATGGAGCAAGAAACTACCAAGGTATAATCTTCTGCAAGATCCTGGTCATCACCATGGTTATGATGAGCTGGAGTGATCCTAGTTAGGTCATTCTAGTTATATATTATTTTGGGGGAAATATAATATGTGATAATACTGAATACTACACATTGTATTAAATTCATTAGCTAAAATTCAACAGTTCATCACGTGTGTTCCTTAAAACTAGAACCTATGGAGCCACTATCATCACACCCAGATGTTATACACTGAAACAAATATTTTTCTCTCTAAAGGAAAATTAATGTGGAATTTTCTAGAAAGACTCAGTACTACCTAATGAAATAGAAATGATGATATGAAAGAAAAACATCCTAAAATTTCATAGCTCTCTGGGCTCAAATCCCCAGTACTTGATTTCAGAAAAAAAGGCCTTTTTTACATGGAAAAGACCTCCCAGCACTGTGAAAGCTATCAGTGTACACACATGGCTTTAAAAGTGAAGATATCACCAATGATTGAAAGTGCCAGGAGTTTGCCCAGATTTGCTATATATATATATATATATATATATAGCATGCTGAATGAGACAGATGGTGTATGACTATAATCCCAGCACTCTGGGCATCTGAGTTAAGGAGATCACAAGATAGACCAATTTTGTGACTTAGGAAGACTCTTAGTGTGTATCTAAAAAGAATATCTGAGGATATATCTGTAGTTCACTGTGCAGATGCAAAGTAAAAATAAGAAAAATGCAAATGTAAAAAACTAATAGATGATAAATCGATTCACAGATACTTAGATAAAATAATAAAATAACTAGCCACTGATTTACTTAGCATGATGAAAAAGTTGAGCCATAGGCTTTCTTATCAGTTATTGGACCTCAAGTTATTGGACATAACTTCCTGGCAACATGACCAAGCAGAACTTGGAACCCTTGTAGAAGACATCACAATCCAGTACTGCCCACCTCCCCAGCTCATTTGCCTGGAGACACTCAGCGGAGAGGATGCTGAATTGTTTCTCCACATCCAGAGGCCACAACCCCAGGACCCCAGGCAGACAAAGTCTATGTCAAAAATTGAGAAAACGCCTCACACCATCCAGATGCCGCAGGCCAAGGTGCGAAAGGCACCCAACTTTCACAGTCAGCCCAGAGACAGTCTCCCCAAGACCAACCGACTGTGAACAGCCAACATCAAGGTACCCACCCCAAAACTCTGTTGACTCAGGTACAAATGACACTGAAACCCAAAAGATTCATGGGCAAGTTTCAACAGGCCCCGAGATACTCAGCAGCTCTGGGCAGGTCTCAGCAGAGCTGGCAGCAGTAAAGTCAGATAGACCAAGGTGTCCAGAAGTAGAGACTGAAGTCACAGTGTCCAGCAACCACCAAACACTAAGAAACCTACAATATGACCAGCTGGGCTGAGCCATTATGGAGAATTACTTGGCAGGGAGAGATGCCCAACCCCACACTGAACAGACAATAAAGGCAGTAAGGTCTCCCTCACCCATTAAGCCCTGTATGCCAGTTTTCCTGCATGACCAACCCTTCTCTGACCCATTCTTCCCAAGTACCTCCATGGCCTACACCACCTCCCAACAGGCCCAAGTTGTAGGTGGGGATAAGAAGATGACAAGCCTTGAGATTTTGTTTTCTTCTGAGGGCAATGAACTTCTAGACATCTGCTCATTTGGTAATAAACACCTCACAACAAGATGTGTAGATGAAAAGAGAGATCCATGCAATACGTTGCCTCTGTTGCAATTAGAAGATCGATATATGCTTTCTGAGCTTAATACAGATTCTGAGCTGCTAATTCATACATCATCTCATGCACCAAAGTATACTGAGGTGTCTTGTGTATCTGAATGTACTGAAGTGCCTTGCTTACCACAAGATGGAAAGGTGATTTGCATACCAGAAGATCCTAAAGTGCCTTGGGTGCCAAAAACAACTCTGCCTCGTATGTGTTTAGATCAGAGTTCTTGGGACTGTCTGCAAAAGGATACAGAGGCTCTCCCACCATCATTTCCAGAGGCTCCTCAGGTGTTTTGGGTACAAGAACAGCCTAAGACACCTTCTCCAGAAGATAAATCCATCTGCTGTAGAGCTTCAGGACACTTGAGAAAGGTTCACTGCGCTAACGGCCACACATTTGGATCTAAAAGGTTCAGTAAGCATGCTAATTGTGCTGTCTGCTCAGACCCCACGGGGGGATTTGGACGCAAGGCATACAAATGTATGCACTGTAAAATTTTAGTTCATAAGAAGTGCCATGCACTCGTCAGAGTTCCATGCAAGCACCATACTTTGCATGATGAATGCACAATGCCAATAAACCAGGTTTCCATGGCTTTAGATCCCAAACAGGAAGTAGTCTCACCAAATCCTAAAAGTCATGTGGGTATGCAAGCAATAGATGATGAGAATGAGACAAATACTGGTGAGGAAAATGGCAGGCCTTTGTGCTCTTCTGCTCTTAAAGACTTTGACTTTCTCCGTGTCCTCGGGAGAGGAAGCTACGGTAAAGTTTTACTAGCTCGGCATAAAACAACAGATCACCTCTATGCCATGAAAGTGGTGAGAAAGGACGATGAAAACCTTATTCGTCTCCAGGTAGAGAAGCAAATATTGGAGAAGAGCTTGAACCACCCTTACCTGGTTGGCCTGCATTCCTGCATCGAGACACCAACCAGATTTTTCTTTATCCTGGATTACATCAGTGGAGGAGACCTAACATACCATCTGCAACAGTTCGGAATCTTTCCCAAAGCACATGTGAGATTCTACTCCGGGGAGATCTCCTTAGCTATCAAGTTTCTTCATGAACATGAGATATTACACAGGGATCTGAAGTTGGAGAATTTGTTACTAGATGTGGACGGACACATTAAAATTACCGATTACAACCTATGTAAGGCAGGACTGAAGGCAGGCGAGAAGACCAACACTTTCTGTGGCACACTCAGTTATCTGGCTCCAGAAATCATCAGAGGCGAAAGCTATGGTTTCAGTGTGGACTGGTGGAATCTTGGAACAGTCATGTTCGAAATGATGGTGGGAGAGCCTCCGTATCCTTTTGCAGACAGTCCCAAGAACTCTGATCTAAACACATACAAGGTCTTGCAATCTATGTTAGAAAGAGAAGTCAACATTCCAAATCACCTGTCTGTCGAAGCCAGAAGCATCCTCAAGGGTCTTCTGAAGAAGGAGCCAGAGGTAAGATTGGGCTGTCACCCTCAGAGAGGATTCATCAATATTAAAGAGCATCCATTCTTTAACAATCTGGACTGGAACATGATGGGAAAACAGCAAGTGCCTCCTCCCTTTAAGACAAGTATTGGTACAGAATTCAGGATAGAAAACTTTGACCCTGAATTTACCAACGAACCTGTCCAGCTCACACCTGATGACAGTTACTTTATGAACAGCATAGATGAATTTGGACTTTGAGTACATCAATCCCCTTTTCACATAAGAAGAATGAGTCTGATTGTCACCTTCCAGTTAAGCATCTGTTTGTATATCTAAGGCATGACAAAACTTGTTACCAGCTTGCATTCAACTGACACTTTTATAATTGCCTGGAAGATCATTTTAATTTCCTATTTCTATATGAAGATGCCCTGCTTGATTTTGGTTTTTGGTTGACAAAGTTACTTTTTATGATAAGACTTAATGATGAGGCAATTTCTTTTTACCAAGTTTGTAAACACATTCCGTTTGTTGCTTGGAGACATATTCCTGATTTTTTTATTTACTATACTGGAAAATAATATCTCATTATGCTTGTTTTGCTCCCAAACTATATGACCTATATATTTAGGCCCCTGATTTTGTAATATTCAGGGAAATCCAAAAACAATAGTAACAACTTTGAACAACTCTGCAGAAACCACATACCTTGTAGCTCTGTCTCCTAGGTCAAACTTTAACCATCTTAAAGTATTACACCATAGATATACTTTCTAATATTTAGTGGACATCAAAACAATAATGCAAAGAAAGTATTTCTCCAAATAAGGCTAAAATCCCAAAGGAGTTCTAATGTGGACTCAGTAGGAAACATTTTAAGCAAATGCCCTGTGTGAGTATTTTACATTCTGAATGCCCAGTGGCAAAGAGAAGCTCTTAAAAGCAGGATCAGAAACATATGTCTGACATGTCAGAGTTCTCTGCAAGTTCATGTTGTGTACACTGATTTTTGTTTTTAAGCAAGATCTGAGTACTACCAGAAACACAGATTCCTTGCAAATGAACATGTCAATCCTTAGAAACATTTTCTTTTGATGTTTTCCTTACTTTCAAATTTAGCTATTTGATGGAATGATAAAATATGACTCCAAGCTTGGGAAAAGTTACATTTCTAATGAAATGGGGCATCCAAATAAAGAGAGAAAGATAACTTAGTAAATGCCTACACATTTTAAGTCATCCTAAATTTAAAACTGGATAGCTTGCCTAGAATTAAACATTATCAAGCTTGTGCCATTGTAACTTATTTAGACTATGATGGTTACTTTTCAAGTCCTTTGCACAGAGATGGCACTGAAACAGAGCAATGCTGTATCTGGCAACTCTTGAAATGACAAATTGCTAACTACAAATTGTAGTAAAATAATTTGAAGAACTCTGCCCTAGAAATGAACTTTACTTCTATTTTTATTAAAATTCATAGTTAGCAATTTATTATTTACACAGCTGCCAGATACAGCACTGATCTGTTTCAGTGCCATTTCTGTGCAAAGGACTTGAAAAGTAAAAACCATTGTCTAAATAAGTTACAATGGCACAATCTTACTGAAGTTTAATTCTAGCTAAGCTATCTAGTTCTAAATTTAGGATCACAACATGTGTAGGCATTTACTAACATATCTTTCTATCTTCATTTGGATGCCCCGTTTCATTAGAAATATAACTTTTCCCAAGCTTGGAGTCATATTTTATCTTTCCATCAAATAGCTAAATTTGAAAAGTAAGGAAAACATCAAAAGAAAGTGTTTCTAAGGATTGACATGTTCATTTGCAAGGAATCTATGTTTCTGGTAATACTCGGATCTTGCTTAAAAACAAAATCAGTGTACACAACATGAACTTGCAGAGAACTCTGACCTGTCAGAAATATGTTTCTGTTCCTGCTTTTAAGAGCTGCTCTTTGCCACTGGGCATTCAGAAAGTAAAATACTCACACAAGGCATTTGTTTAAAATGTTTCCTACTGAGCCCACATTAGAATTGCTTTGGGCCTTTGGCCTTATTTTGAGAAACATTTTCTTCCCATTATTCTTTGGTCCTCCACTTAAATAATAGAAATGTTTTTAATGCTATAAGCAGCAATTTACAACCTTATGAATGCTTCTGAACAAATTTTAAACACATGACTCTTACAGATCATCTTCTCTGTTGCCCCAGTAAAGCCTTATCATTTGCACCAATGATTTATGCACAAAAGCAGAATTTTTCTTCAATGAAGTCAATCTTTATTCAGGGTGTTATGTGGTTTTTAAAATTTTTACGTAGTAAGATTTACTCTGTATTTTATGGGGAATTTCATTTCAAAAATTTTAACTATTCTATTTTTTTTGCAATCTTTTAGTGTAATGGCATTTATTATAAAAAGTCTTCTCAAAATGTTTACCAGGAAAATAAGGCAGTTTACAATCAGAATAGTTGACCTTTTGATATTCTAAGACATAATTTACTTTGCATAAGCCTGCGATAGGTTCTCTTTATTCATATTCAGCCTGAATTCAATTTCAAGTACCTGGTTCAGTAATGCTACAGTTACGTTATACATTTGTTTTGTCATGCAGCATGCAGCCTTGGTGGTCGTAATACAACCTGTATTTGTGTACCACTTTTTTTCTCATGTTAAAAACCTTTAATTACAACATGTAATTCAAATCACAGCCATGAAAAGATTTTGCAGCCATATTGTAAAACCGCCATGGTGATCATACTGCATTTTCACTAGTTTCAATCTGGAGTAAACCTAAAGTGAAATCTGCCAGCTCCAAACCAAGACTCATGGTGACTTTCAATTGCTTTCTGCTTCACTCCTCACTCACTGAAGATCTGCTGTATTGGACTGCTTTAAGTAATGAACAACGTGTGGATGCAATAACAACTGGACATGGTTGTATATAATATGAATCTTAAAAATTCAATACATCGTGTGTTGTAATAGACATACTTAATTCACTCATGTGAAGTAAACATTCTCTGAATTTTGGGGCCTGCAATCTTTTGTTGCTTCTGTGTGAACCATCATGGTTCCTAACTGCCGTCATGTTTTGGCCACAACTGTCTCCTAAGTCTTCAATTAATAGTTGATTTAATGGAAACTCTGTGAAGCCCAGCCTCCAAGGGATTGTAACTTGGGTGAAAAATTCATGGGATAAAGTCACTGACAGCTGTGTTTCCTATGCCCTGTGAGCAGGCTACGTGGATGAGATGTGCACATTTTAAGAGAGCTCTACTGCTGGACCTGAGAGGCTAGGGCCAATATTTCCATAGAAATGGAATTTCAAGACATTCAGTCCATAATGTGGGGTTTGGAGAACTATAATAGTGTTCTAGAAAAAGGTGACAAGACTGTATTTGAACAAATACGGATTTTTGTATATGAAAAAAATAAGATTACCCTGAAAAATAAGTCCTGGTGCATCTTTTGGAGCAAAATTTAAGGTAAGGGCTGGTCTTATTTTCAGGGAATAATATTTTTGAACTCTACATGGGCAGCTGAGTTACTGCACCTGAATGAATAATATTTTCATGGTATGAGATGCCCCAAGATAGCTTGGGCAGGGCATATGAATGAGTACCCTCTACAGTGGTCAAGCAAATGGCAGACGTGCAGGCCCTTTAGCATCTGCTTTCTGCCACCTTCTCTCTTCCAATAGTCATGACTGATGTCTGAGTGTTCACTGTGGGAGCAGCACTTTGGGTGCAGTAACTCAGCTGTCTATGGTGACCCTATTGGTGAGCTAGAGTTTGATTCTTTTGTCCCTCAAAGGCCACCAGCTTGGTGCTACTAGGAGGTGGTGGAGCCCTCAGGAGTTGGAATCTAGTGAAAGGTCTCCAGTCACTGGGCAGAACCCCCTGAAGGGGACAGCAGGATCTCACGCCCTTCTTCTTCTCTTCCCAGCCATGAGGTGAGCAGCTTTGTTCTGCTATGTGTCACCCCACACCCTGGCCCATGATATGCTGCCAGCAGCCTATGCCAGTGGACCAACTGGTCACAGAGTAGAACTTCCAGAATTGAACCACAATAAACCTTTTGTCTTTATAAGTTGATTACTTCAAGTATTTGTTACAGTAGTAGAAAACTGAATACCAGAGTGGAGCTGTGCTATACACTATATTTCAGAGGGGAATTAACTAGAGGAACAGAGATACCAGGAGACTGACATAAATCAAATGCCTTCACGTAGAAACACAACAGGTGCTCAATGCTGAGGCTATACCGTGACTTCCGACTTCAGTGTTCTTTTGCCCAGCCCTGGGTGTTTTATGTTTTGCTTATTATATGAAGGATTTTTAAATGATTTTCATGTATAAGTGGTCCATATTTATTGTGTTATATATTTCTCAGATTACTTCTATGAAGCACGGGCTCCCCAGCTTCCAAGCCTTGGAGTCACACCAACAGCACTCCTGAGTCTCCACAGCAGATAGGAACTGTCAGTTGCCATAATTACATGATTCAATGTCTAATGATAAGTTTCTTCCTATATGCCAACAGGAAATATATATACACATACATGTATGTAATTTATACACATTCAGAGGCATTCATAGAAACCTGTTCACACAGAGACAAAGCAGATATGTATCTACTATACAGAAATTTATTAGAGAAATCCCTGATTAACATGGCTAGGATAGAGAACAGGGCACCCTCATTAGAAAAAAAATTGAACTGACCATGAGTGCATGGTGATATCAAAGAAAACCAAGCTTCACTGTGGTAAGCTCCTAGAATTTTGAAGTTATTACAGAAGTTAGTGCATTCTGATCAAACTGTCAAAGCAACTACAGAAATATACCTGTCGGGAAATACCACTCAGAAAAAATGCATATAAATTTTATTAATATAAATTTATAATTATAAGATTTAATAATAATTACTTGATTCATAGTAAGTGAAAGAAATATGTTTCTCTTACTCTTAAAATTTCATGTGTTCATTGTAAAATTCAAGTGTGAGTTATTTGATAATGTGAATTTAAAGAAAGTTGAATATCCAAAATAAAAAGAGAAGTAATTTTGTTGTTAAATAAAAATGAACTACAGTTGATATGAGATTATTTTATGTTAAAAGGGCTTGTCTAGTTTACATGTGTTTCATGGAAGATCTTTTAAATTTTATAAAAACTTTGTTCAGGATTCGTATAAAGCAAATGCTATTATAAAATTGTTTTAACTTGGGGGAGTGTGGTGAGGGGAAGATAAATGCCTGTGTGTAGCTGCAGTAGAAAATGTGACCCCCACCACCCCCAAGCCAGTAACTTCAGTCTCTTAGTCACCCTGGTAATAGTTCCTGTTGCAGTTCTGATTGCTTCTATCCACTAGAAACAGCTGGCTACTGTAATGCACAGCTGGCCACTGTGGGGCATACTGTAAGAACCAAAGACAGCCAAGTACTCTGTGTTTGGACTTCCCCTTTGCAATCCCATAAAATCCTCTCTCCTTGAGCCTTCAGGGCCTGATACTCTCGGAATGATCTTGATTCAGTGCTCGGCCAAGTAGAATAAAGCTGCCTCCAAATCCTAGCTGCCCTTTTGGTGTTTCTGCTTAATGTTGCACAACTCATCTCAGAAACAATTTGCAAATATATCTTTCAAATTATTAATATTAGTTTTTAAAATATTTTCCTGAAACATCATCTTAGATTATATAATCTAAATTAGTATTCATTTTATAAAAAGAAAGTAAAAATATGTTCAAATTCATATTGGCAGAGATTTAAGTTTTCTTTACAAGAAATTATTTTTTCTAAATTTCTAATGTTTAGCAAATTAATGTTAATTTTAGTTATACTGAATATTATACATGATATAAGAAATATATAGATTATATATAATAGATTATTATGCAATCATCATAATATATAAATGTAGATTATTATATATAATCATAAACTGAAAAATTGATTTTGCTAATCTGAGAACTTTACAGGTAAATATTCCTGGAAATTTCTCTCATTTAAAGGGATTATTTTGAAATTTGATATATTTATATGAGCAATAGAACTGCACTGAAAACTTTGATGCACTAATTTTATCATATTATTGTCTGACCATACTCATATAAAATAATTATTATGGTGCAATAAAAAGTCATTTAGTCAGTAATATTACAACATTCCCTTATGAATATATTTTATGTATATTTGTGCTACATAAAATCATATAAATTTATTTTCCAGATCTATGTCATCCATCTCTTATCAATTTAAGAAGTTCAGATCTATGCTGTCTCCATTCAACTTCTTTATACAACCTCAGAAGTTAGCCTACCTTCACCAAAAAAGTGAAAAGAAATTGAATAAACCTTACTCTACGTCATATTATCAGAGGTGTAGACATATAATTAAAGTTACCTTGTAAAATAGTTCTAGCATTTTTTAAGTTTAGAATCTTTAAAACTGTGTTTTGGAAATACTACTTCACTTTTTTCTGTGTTCGACAAATATATATCATAAGATAGGCCCAATGTTTCCCATATTTATCTCTGGTGCTTTCATTTTTATTTCCATTGAACTGGAATATTTGTTTTAAAACACTAAATTTCTTTTAGCTGCATTGTACACCCACTAAATCAGTGCATGTGATAGGACAGTGGTAAACACTAGGGTGTGGACTTCTATGCACTTCTCCAGGATGATATTCAATACATTCCAGTTGAAGGGAAAACTTCTGGAAAGTTCAGATCTACATGCCAGAAAGTAATAGTGTAAGAATTCTCACCAGTGAATCTTTGGCAGATAATGCAACCCAACATAACAAGGACAGAGACCTGCTAGAAATTTATGCCTTAAAAGAGCCCCAAAGTCAGTGAAGAAAAACATTTGTTTGCTTTTTACTTCACTGATACATGTTTCAAATTTGTACCCATATATGATGTATTTTAATTCTTCTTTACCCAATCCTCTGTTCTCACTTCAAGAGAGAACAGGCCCAGCTGCAGGCGTGCATGCCAGTGCAGGCGGCACCAGCAAGAACAGACTGGGAAACGGGTGCGCACTCCTGCAGGCAGGACCTGTGGCGGGGAGCAGTCTGAAGCAAGAGGGAGAATATGAAGCAGCCGCTGGTCATCAGGTGAGCATTACGTCCTACCACAGACAGGAAGAACAGAAGTGGGTGGGAGCATTTTATATCAAAGAGCTCTAGGAGAATGCAGGAAACAAAAGATCTGCCCCAGTTCCTACACCCAGAAGCCAAGCTCATGCTCATAGGCTGCTGCACAAGCCCCACTTGACTGGAGTGCGCATTGCTGGATTCTGACTTGGAAACTGCCAGAGAACTATGGACACCAGGGCAATTTTCCTACTTTTATTTTCCTCTGTCTGGCTGTTTGTTCTCTGGTTGGTTTTGCCTGTTTTGTTTGTGGCTGTGTTACTTTGCCTTTATTTTGTCTTTTTCTTTTCTTTCAGCTTTCTTTTTTTTTTTTTTCACCATGTTTTTTTTTTTTTTTCTATTCATCTTATTTCTCTTTTCCTCAATGATCTCCTGATTTGGTAGCTTCACACGAATGAATATCGTTTCTTATCTTTCTGGTTTACTTCAATACCCCGTCACTTGCAGTTTCATTTTCTTGTCTCCTGTGTCCTCCAGTTTCCCAAAATTTCAATTATTATCCTTAAACCCCAGCCTTGCTTCTACTATATTTGAACTTTTTCATCTCTCTGTCTTGTCCTTTATCTCTGTAAATTCTTCTCTCTTCCCACACAGGGTAAAATCACTCCATTTAGGGGGAAATCATTGCATACAAGTTCCTGATATATATATTGCATTTTGTTATATAACTGTAAAATTTGCTCCTCTGGTTAAAGGTATCAGGTTGACAGTTACAGTTTGTCAGTAGATAGCCTGTACTTGATGCTACTATTATTGACAACTGTACTACGTTAGGCAGGATTTCATATATGTTATGTTTTTGTCCCTTGTATGATAATAAGGTGATTGTATGAGATCACAGTCACATTCATTGTTCAGGACCAAAGGATTGGGTGCCAAGCCAAATAGATAACAATTTTTCATCCTTAATCAATTGGGAAAATAGGTTTTTGGGATAGACAAAAGACATTTCCTAGGGAGTCCTAAATATTACTGATAAAGATGCCTACCATAAGAAATCAGCAAGCAAAACACAGAAAACAAAATAAAGTAAAAGGAGAAGATGAAAATATGCAGAAGCAAAATGCAACCCCAGATCCCCCAGCCCACCCATGACAAGCCCAGAGCACAGTGAGATAAAGGAAATCAAAAGCAAAGCATTGAAATTTTCTGAAATGATATCAAAAGAGTGAAAAAACAAATGGAAGAGATCATAGAAAAAATCTCTCAAGTACACAGATAAATGGTGATCAAAATGAAAGACATTAAAGCAGACACAGATGTTAAAAAAGGACAGGACTTTGGAAACTGTGAATGCCCAATGTAGGAAGAAATGGAATCCTTGAAACATAATCAAATAGCAATTCAGATTAAAATCACCGCTGAAAGTATATACAACAGATCAAAAATCTCTAAGGATGGAATATCAGATCTAGAGTACAGGATTGGGGCTAGGGACTATAAAGATTCCTTAAAAATTTTAAGAGATCATAAAAAATCCAATATTTGCTAGAGGAAGCAAAGAAGACCATCATAAGTTTGAATGGAATCAATGAAAAAGCTGGAGATGGCACAAAGGCCATAAAAGTTTTCTTCACAGAATTAATGGCAGAAAACTTCCCAAACAGGATAAAGAATTAACTATTTATCCCAAGAATTAACTGTTTATCCCAAACAGGATAAAGAATTTGACATGTACATAAAATGGAGTTTATAGAACTCCACACATCCAGGACGAAAGGTATTTCTATAAACCTATCTTCCTCAGGATAGTATATTTAAGCATCCCTGTGTTTTGAGTAGATGACTACAGTGTCAAAGTAGGCATAGTAACTAGGACAAGTAAGATATTTTCACTGAAAAATCATATCTAAATTTAGCTAATCTGGTGTTTTAATATCTTAACGCTGGACATATGTAAAAACACTAATAAGATTATCTATTGAGCTAAAACAGACATATTTTCTTGTTCGCTATTAAGGCTTTCAAAAAACCTGCTATATTAGAATACAATTAGGGTTCAAATTTTAACATAGAGACATATGCTTATGTTTATACATATGAATACAGAAAGATATACACATATGTGTATATACACCCATATACATGTATATATAAAACTACTCACCTAGAACAGTAATCCAAGTAAGACCTTAGTACTAGTTTTAAAACCAAAGTATTAAACACAGGAAAGAAATACAAGAGAATTATCAGTTCAGTGCCTGTACTTGTTATAGTTATGAGTGTTGGGTACCTGAGAGTGAATTTATTTGCTGAAATCGTCCTTGATTCCTGCACATAATGGCAAATTATCATTTTTTTCTAGGTGACATGAACAACAATCTTTACACCTCTTCTGCTCTAAACTTTCTTTAGTATAATTGTAATATGAATAACTCATATTTATGGATTATGTTGAACAGGAAAGCTTTTAACCAGGCAATTATAAAGCTAAAAATATAAAATTTCCTTATTCATCAGTATTTCCTATATAATGCAACAGAAGCAACGTCAGGACCCAGGACTCCTTGGATTAAGTCTAATAGGATAGAAACCAGCATAGTTGTCAATGTTGAGTTACATAGTTACTATATTATGCATTAAAATTGATTATAAATAAAATGAATAATTGCAAAAAATAGATGAGAGTCTAACAAATGAAACAGAAGACACATTGTTGGGAAAAAAAACAGATGTGCAATCAGAATGAAATGGTAATAAAAGAGAAACAGTCATCAAACAATGTAAAATAGAGTATAGGAAGAAAGGCAGTAGCTTTTATGCATTTTTGGTAGGATATCCCAGTGAGAGGATACACTGGTATGTGTGTTACAAATAAAACAGAAATTTGCAAAAGTTTAATGCTGTTTTAAGATGAAATGATAAAGTAGGAAGAGTTATGTAGCACCTACATTTATTTTAGACACAGATTTTAGGTTACTGTATTTGTAAAATTCTATAAAATATTTGTACATGTGTTTAGACCCTCATATTTATACAGATAGTAAAAATATAAAAATGAAACAATTATTAGAAGTTCAAAGTTTAAGAAGTGTCTCTGTCTCAGGTATTTCTATATTCATTTAAACATTTTGCAATGCACACATGTATTGAAACATCACAAAGCACCGCATTACAATGCACAACTTTTATTTTTTTGTTCATCAGGTAAAATTAATTTACAATTTTACACTTTTTAAATAGTCATGTAAGTTATAGCAAAGTTTTTGCGAATTCAGTCATAGATGTAGGTACATACATTTCAGTATGGTTAGTAATTTTAGTTGCACCTATTAAATAATTCATACTTTCCAATTAAATAAAACCATTCCAAAATTTACATATTAATAAAAGTATATTGAGTAACAAAAGTACAGTTTCCTGGAGTCACTTAAATTTTTCTCTTGTTATCAAATAAGCTGACATGAACAATACTATATTGTGACTTTCAAAATGACCTTCATTGATTATTTTCATATAACATAGCCAAAAGTTCATGAAAAATTTTCTCTAGGGAAGTTAACTTCTCAATTCATATTGCCAATGAATGTGCTTTGGCAGAAAATTTGCCAAAAATGACATTTACTTTTCGGGAAATTACAATATCACTTAATAGAATCTTGGAGTATATAGCACTCAGACAACTGTCAAATTGGTCCTAGGCCTTGAGAGATCTGAATGTTCATTAGCAGAAGGGTTATATATTAACTGAAACTTACCTCTATTCATTTCAAGATGCTGAATTAAGTTTAGAGAGAATGATGAAACATTCTTATTAAAGGTGGCACAATGTTCAAGGTAATATGAATGCTACAAGCCTATAGATACCTAAATCATTTTGCCAGATAACTGGATTTAAAAATGCTTTACAATTTTGTGAGATACCAATTTCTCTTTTGGAGTTCAGACCCTTTTCAAGAATTAGATCCCTCAATTCAAGTATATCTTAAAATTTAGGAAACTCTTAGAAAAGAAAGTTAGTTAAATTCATTCTAATATCTTTCCAAGTGAAAGGAAACAGCTAAACAGTAATTTAAAATATGTTGCAAAATATTTCAGCATAAGAATCAGGACATTAATAATCCTACCAAATTTGAGAAATAAAAAGGTTTTGCTTTTTATTATAATGTTAACTTTGGCAAGGTTTGGGAGGCCCAATTTTCCTGTATTCACATATATAACATACCAAATTGCTAAGCATTCTATTTGAGATGAAAAAAAAAGGTAATATTCACAATAGCAGAGAAATTTAATTACTACATTTCTACTGTTTTCTTAATATGTTACTTGTATTTGGAACATCATTTACCTCAATTGGCAAATACGTAATTGTTACTTTTGGTTTGTTTTTCCCTCGCTTTTAGAAAGAATATATTTTTCAAAAATAGCCATAGTCTTTGTTTTTATAATCAATCCATATTATATCAAAAATAATACATTTCAATAAATACCGGTGGCATAAGTGATTTAATGAATGAATGAAACAAGACACAGCTAGCTCCTATAATTAATGTTATTTTGTTATGCGAATATATTACAAGAAACGAGACACAATATGACAAATAGTTGAAAGGCAAAGAAAATAGACTTTAAATTCTGGGAGAGTGGGGTTATGAGTGTGAAAAATTCTTAGTAATTTCATGGCATTGGAATCCATAGAAAGCTTATGCACAGAGCTTTAAAATAAAATTAAAACAGAACCACCAATTGATATTGGAACTTGAACTTTGAAAATAATATCAACCGTTTTGCTAGATCTAAAATTTCCCAGAAAGTCTCATGTGTTCAAACTTTGTGTTTTGAAAGTTGCCTGGATCATCAGGGCACTACACTCATCAAGGGATTCACCAATGTGAATTTAGCAGTTGAGTGTGCTCTTTAGAGTCTGGCTAGAGGCAGGTACCTGGGCCTTGACCTGGAGGCATCTATCACTGTCTGGTCCTTATTCACTGTGTGAATTCTGACCACTATGACATGAGCTGATTTCTTCCTGTCAGGCCTTTCCATCATGCCATTTCTCTCTTGCAGACAGCAAAATATTAGCCTAAATAAATGTTTTGTCCTTAAAGTTCTGGGTATTGAATATTTTGTCCCTGCAAGAAAGAAAGTCATCGAAATAGATTTTTATACACAAAGTGGGATAATTTCTGTGAATGTATTGGACTTACTGGCTTCCACTTGTTTGGAAGACATTCTTGGGAGTAGTTTGAAAATCTGACCAGAAAAATCTAGAATACTGTTTGCCAAGGTAGGTGGGAAATTCTGATCAGAGCTAGAAGAACAGAATAGTGATAGGAATGCATACAGTAAAGCTAGTCTCCGGAAGTTCCAGTTAGGAATACGAACTCCATTGGCTGTTGGACTCCTGGTCATGGGTGTCATACTCTGGCAAAAAATCAAATGAAATCTTTATCTAAATCATGAGACTATGCAGAAGGTTGAGATTAAGTATGATGGATTTATGTGGCTGAGGAAAGTTCAAGGTGGCCCAATAGTTCATCTATAGTTAGGGATGCTTGCTGTTTCTAGCAAGATCTGTTATGAAAACGAGAAAAAAAATGACAGAGTTAAATTATTTTAAAAATTTGCAGTTTCATCAGAAATATAGCATGGGACAGTTGGCAGAAAGGAGAGTACAGTTGTTTAAAAGATTAGCATGAAAAAAGAGCCAAATTCTTTGAATCAGGAAAATAGGAAAATTATCTGAGGAACATTTCATAAATTAAGCATACTTGACCCATCAGAAGACTTAAAAGTCCTAAAATGAAAGACTTTGGTTTGGAACTAGAGCCCTGAGGAGCCAAGTTCATTCAGTGCTATCCAGGAAAGCGTTTCCTGTAGTTCAGGCATCAGATGTCTTTGTAACCATGATCCAGGAGAAACTGGAAACTGGCAGATCTGACCACAGACCTCCACATCTTCCACGTGGTGCTGGTTTTATGGGAAAGAAGAATGTAAGAGCTGTGTGTCCTCTACCCAGATTTCAGAAGATGTGGTAGGTCCAGCAGTGTGGCCCTGAAAGTAAGTCATTAAGCTGTAAAGGGGAAGCCAAAAGTGTAATGGAGGCTTGAGAAAGCTGAAGATGCCAAGGCTGAGGAACACCTAGTCAGAAAAGTTGCAGGTAGTTAGCAGAACCACCCCAATAAAGGCCACGAGGGCTTCAACAGGCAAATTCACATGGACTGGGTTTCACAAAAACTTGGGTTCTCATATGTTCTCACAACTTTCCCTGAGTGCTAGACACAGTGCTATAGAATTTAATGCTCACTATGCTGGGCTCCATTCTCACTTTGATCCAGTCTACATAACTCTCTGTATCTTATTTCAGTCTTTTAGAATAGAAGGTTTATGATGTGCCATTATATGTTGGTAGTATTTTAAATATTTTTAACAGTGGCTCATGGCTAAGAGTATGCCTTCAGTCGCAAAGGAAATTTTAGACTAGGACTTTTCCAAAAAGTAGTTCTTGGACTTTTAAAACCTTGGTGAATCTTGGTGATTGGGTAAGTACATTTTACACAAAGAGATGATAAATCTTTTCAGGACCAGAACAGAATTGTAAGATTTACTTAAAACATCCCCCCTAAATCTCAGGTGGGGTAGTGAAGGTGAGTAGACCGTGGAGTGAGTATGTTCATCACTGAATTTACCCTCTAATGAGTTTAGCTACTGCATGTACTGTTAGAAGTGTAACCTGGCTAGGAGCAGGATTATGTGGGCATAAACTGAAAAGTACCATCATTCTCTGGCTTTTCTTTGCATTCTCTCCCTTTTGGTTACCATGACATGAGAAGCCTTTTCTTCCCGGTCCTTCCACCAGCAGGCCTTTGTCTCAGAGCCAGTCAGCATGAACCAAAAGAGTAAGTGTTCTGCTCTTCAAATTGCAAATGTCAGGTGTTTCACCCCTATGAACAGAAAAGACACCAAAACACCAAAAATGTTTTCAAGGAGGAGAATCAAGATAACACTTTGCTTAATAATAATAAATAGCAAGAACTGCAATACTAGTTGTATAACTAATAATACTAGTTCTTGGAGTGTGTCAGTCTATTCTTAACATGCATTTCAGTTTATTGATAATGTCACCTAGTTCTTCTATATGGAAAACTGTTTCATCTGATTCTTTGCTTTTGAGTCAGCATAACTATCTCAGAACTCCATTTGGTTGTTTACAAACTATATTCAAATTTCTCTCTTTGAGAAACACTGAAATTAGAGTCAATAGGACTGAAAGCTATAATTGATGAAATATGATATTGCACTCTAAAATTCAATTGCAGAAACCCTAAACCCAGAGCATCTCTGAGGGGTGCTCACTCTTTTTGTGTTGCAACATTGTTCAAGAATACAGAGCACACATGTAGGAAGCCAGAAATGGGAGTTAATTTGGCAAAACCTGCAGTCCTTGACTGCAGAAAAGGGTTTTTACGGATTTAAAAATGAAACCAAACTGCTCCCTAAGTCTCAAAGAAAAAAATAAAAGAAAGCAGAGGCAGGTTTCCCTGAGAAGTCCACCTTGACCCCTCCTCAGCTGCCAGAGTCCCTGCCAGCACCTACAGCATCACTCCCCCCTCCCAACTCACCTCCTTCCAGCCCTGCACCAGTTCCAGTCAGCCGCTGCCCACACTCAGCCACAGAGGTCCTCTCTCCAGAGCCTTCTGTTTCCTACACTGATCAGATAGCATCATTTAATGCTTACCCACAACAGCTGCTGCAATTCCTTCTGAGTTCTACATTTTGACCAAGAAATATAGGGCTGTCAGCCCTGATGAATGAGTTACCATGACATTTCCCAAAGGTCACTTTTCCTTAGAAATAGCCCAATCAAGAACATCTCAGACATCAAAAAGGGACACAAATGCTAATCACCTGCCATCACCCAAAAACCTGATTAAAGCATATGATGTCCATAAGAAAATTCAGCCTGATAGACAGTCATACCCTCTGGCTTCAGGCTATTGACACCAGAAAAATGTTCGTTCCATATGCAAGACGTAAAGAAACCTGACTATCCAGGCCCCCTCAGCCTGAAACTCTTTTCTCCATGTTGGGGCTGGATAAAGAGGACAAATATTGAGCTCTATCAAATTGGGCCCCTGAGAACCTGCAGTCACTGTAGAAGTTGGGGCAAACCTGTGCCTCCTGATAGACAATGGAACAGAACCCTCTTACCCTCCAAAGTTCCCTCTGTCAAAAGTTACCATTTGGGGCAGCTGGGACTCTTATCTCTCACTCTTTATTTCAGGCACTAACTTACAGCCTGGAAGGACACCTCACCAACATCAGTTCCTATCTGAGAAGAGGCTTGCTCTTCAAATTAGAAGGGACCATCACTTTTTTTTTTTTTTTTTTGGTCTTTTTCGTTTTTTATCGGTACCAGGGATCGAACTCACGACTGCCTACTTGCAAGGCAGGCGCTTATGCCGCTGAGCTAAATCCCCAGCCCCAGGGACCATCACTTTTACACCAAGTCATTCAGCCTCCCCGTCACTTGACCCCTGAGAGGAACACAATGTGTGCATGAGAAAAATAACTGCTGTGCCATCAATAGTACAGCCATCACTTTGCACTCTGTGCTTCCCAACCCATACACTTTCCTTGCACTGCTCTAGCTCACTTGGACTCAGTTGTCCTATGGAATTAAGGACTCTCCCATTACTTGGGCGTGGGGGGGGAGCCGAGGACATATTTGGGCAAGCCACCAACACCTTTTCTCTGAGACAGCCTATTTCTCTGTTTCTTTCAGCTCTGTTATGGTCTCCTGAGCAAACACTGTAGACTGTCATACTGCTAAAATAGGCCTCTCCTGCGTGTAAGGCCAGGTCGGAATCTCTGAGCTAACAATGCTGCAGCAGTTGGCCTCCATATGCACTGCCTCAGACTTCTGCCACCCGCTGTCTGCTAGTATAGCTGTCAGGACCTAAAGAATATCTCCTGCCTTTGATTTGCTCCTGTCAGCCAGTTCATGTTTGTTTTAAGATGGAAAGACCCAGCCAGGCATCAAAAAATTATGTGTCCTCTTTTTGAGAAACCCTCACAGATGACCTTGTTGATTTCCCATCACAACATATTGCAGCACTTCTGACTGATGACATCCAAGCTGCCTGCTGGAAAGACTGAAAAGCTCTGCACAATGTCTTGCACAAACTGACTACAAGAAAAAATCCACAAATTCCTTAGAGCTTCTGCATCCTATAAAATGTGGGCCCTTGAGTTCACATAAACAATGATGCTTACTCAGGGCTGCCTACTCCCTTTTTTATCTTCATGCTCTAATAGTTGCTGTCCTTGTGATTAAGAAACCTGACAAGCTCATCTTAGTCCAAGCCCTCATTGTCCAGGTGCCTCATGCTGTACTGGACATCCTGAGTAACTGTCGACCACCCAGTCCTGACATGTGTCTGCCCACCACGCTTGGCCCACCAGATTGTGCCTGAAATCTGACTCCCTCTGATGGATGCTGAGTAGACCCTGCTTATGAATGCAAGTGGCTCTGTGACGACAAGTTATAGATGCTGTAGTCACCTTGGATGAAGTTATTTTGGCCAAAACTCTCCTACTACTGCTTCCTGCTGCTGTTTGGAAACCTGCTACCAAAATACTACATGAAACTCCATTAGAATGTACAATCTTACGTCTTATTGTATCATCTAAAATAAATTTCACAAAGTGAATGAAACATGATGAAGAAATGTTCAGATAAAACAGAAAATAAAATAGAGTTTAAACTGTTTCCTTCCAGTTACACGCAGCTGGGCCTCTGCTTTGTACATAAGACACACCAGACCACTTTGCTTTTCCTCTTCTCACAGGCTTTTCACATCCTGAAAATATGGTTCTGTTTGCATGCCTGCCTCCCAATCCTCCTTACCTTTCTGGACCACAGAAATCTAATGGAAATAATCTCATCCCTCATTTCAGTGTTTTATCTTTGCATACTGTGTACTGAATTGTCTGACTGCAAATCCATTCTTTGCTGTGGCCTGTGTCACATCCTCTTATTCTTGCTGATAAGTATTCAATTAATGCATAGGAATGAATAGTATTGAACTGTTCTTATTGGTATTTTTAGTTATCAAAATCATTTAAATACATTAAAATACATATCAAAATATTCATTCTTTGAAAACTAGTTTTATAACACCTTTGTTGTGCTTTTCATGTGCTTTTAGCTTTATGAGCAAATTCATAAGCAATAATGTTTGTGTTACAGTGTCTGCAGTGGTGGGAAACCTGACAGCAAATCGTGAAAGACTCCTTCCATCACACACTTGCATTTCATAATGAGCAACTGAAACGGTTAATATTCGGAACTGTAATTACAGGATTATTAGCCAGATGTAAAGTAAACTTTAATTAAAAGAAGTTTGGACTATGTATTCCTCTAATGATTCTCCCACCTATAATATACAGGGGTTTACAACTGTGTCAGTTCTTGCCAACATATCACAGGGACATAATTACATTGGGTTGTAACTGTTATAGTGCATGTGAATGGATCTGTTTGGGAGTCTAATTTGCAGTTCCTTTATGCTTAATAATATTGAGCACATTTTTATGTCTGTATTTCCTTTATGACTGACAATACTGAGCATATTTTATGCACATTTTCTGTACATGGTCCTAATTATGCTGATTTATATTAGTTTTTTTCTGTAGTTTTGAAGGAGTATGTTATATTTTAAGAAAAACATCTTCAATGGTTATAAAACTTGCAAATATATTTAGTCTATTATTTTCATAGTTTATTAGGTATGTATTTTAAATGACAAATACATTTTATATGGATGATTTGAATTTATTTTTAAAATGATTATTGCTTATTAGATACCACAAAACTAAAATCATCGTTTTTTATTATAAAATATTTGTATTACTTTTACATTTATTTATATTTTAAATTATTTGTAATGCGCAGAATTAGAAAGGTATCCTTTCATTTTTCTGCAAAAAAAACATTTCTTAATTTCAGTTATTTAAAAGATTACCTTAAATGACTTAAATTGGGAAGATGGCATCAATTAAATACATACATAAAAATGCAAAGAAACAATTTGGTATAGAACTAATTTTGCATTATTTTAACATTTCCTGTTGATATATTAGCTTTATACCAGTACCAATATTCTATTGATCATATTACCTTTACAGAAAAACTAGGTAAATTTTTAAAAATGTCTTTCAATTTTGTCTTATCCTGCTGTCTCTAGACACTGACATTAAAATCCATATTTAGAAACTATCTGTGTAGTATATCCAAAATTTCCTTTTATTTAGAATGAAACTATGATTTAATTCATGTCTAGATGAAATAATCAAGGTTCTGTATATGATAGTTTTGAATACAGAAAATACCCGTATTAAAAATTAGATATACATTGTATTGTACACTAGTGCCTTTACCCATAGAAATACATTGCAAGGTCCCTTATGTATGTTTGAAACTATGGAAAATCCTAGAACCTGTATAGAGTGCTTTATTCTGTGAGCATATCTGTAGTAAGTTTAAGTTTTTTTTTTTTTTTTTTTTTTGGTCTTTTTCCTTTTTATCGGTACCAGGGATCGAACTCATGACTGCCTGCTTGCAAGGCAGGCGCTTATGCCGCTGAGCTAAATCCCCAGCCCCTGTAAGTTTAAGTTTAAACTATAAGCACATTGAGAAATTAACAATTTCTCATTTACTACGGATTTTAGCAATCTCAATGCAAAGTTATTTTGCTTTCTCTAAGGAAAGAACTTATTCAGTCAAAAACTTTCACCTTTTTCCTTAAAGAAAACACTACGTCTTCTTTCAGGCTTATCCAAATTGCCAACATAACTAATACTGTGCTTTGCACTTTTGCAGAGTTAAGAAAAAAGTCATTGGACCACAAGAATGCAATGCCGTGATAATTTGAAAACCAAGATTTCTGCTGTTACCGATTTAGCATGTACATTGTGGAAATGATTGAGAAAGTAACAATTAATGTTCGAAGCAGAATAGAGAGGAATGGAATTAGATTTCATTGTAGTACTGTAAAGGGTATAAAATTTAACCCTTACAAATGATTTATTTTTGGATAATTCCACAGATTACAGACACAAAGCCTGTAGCTAACAAAGTGTGGAAAGCAAAAACAGAAACAAGAGGTGCTACCGTTTTGATCTTCAGTGCTTAAGTGTTGAAGGCTTGGTCTTAAGTTTGAGACCATACTCACAAGCAAAAGGAATCAAACTGACCTGTATAAATACCGTAGTCGTCTTAGTGTAAGAAATGGTAAGAATACATCAAAGTGTATGGTAATCATGATTCCCCACTATATTGCTTTGAAGCCTTATGTTTTCATTCATTATGGTTTTATTCTGGTTGTTTGACTTTATTGTCTGTGATAGTATGAACAGCTATTTTGATGAAAACAAGACATTATCATAGCTAGTGCTGATTTAGTATCATCCTACCATGCTTTTGTTCTTCTGTCTCCCATCGGTTTTATCATGTTGTATCTCATTGGATTTTGTTAGGTGTGATAGTATAAACAAAAATTTTATGGACAAGGAGATAATATAGTAATCCTTGTTTGTTTTCTGTTTGTTGGTTCTGAATACCCTGTAACACTTTCATTCTCTTGAATGATTTTATACTACTTTGTTAGGTTTGATACCATAGTGTATGAAGGTATATTCAAATATTTCAAGAGACACTATGGTAGCTACTATTATGTCGAGTTGTCTTGTGGTGAAACACTATGTTGCTTAAATTGTTCTGTTCTGACCTATTTTGTTATGTTCTCTTTTATCTTAATTTTTTTAAAATTAAAAATTGAGTTGAAGGCTTGGTAGAAGAGAGTGAAACCTCTGATAGGTGGAACTTGGTTGGAGGTACTTAGGTCATTAAAACCAAATCTCTGCAGAGGATCATGAAATTCAGTGCATTCCCTTCCTTCTATTGTTTCCTAGCCATGAAGTTAGAAGTTTTGCTTCACTGCGTATACTGTGTCACTGCAAGTCAACAGTCCCAGAGACCGGAATCTCTCAAATTTAACCAGCACAAAGCTTTTCTTTTGTAATTATGTTTTTTTTTGTAATTATGTTTTTTTTTGTAATAATGGAAGATTAAGTCACACAAAGAGAACTACTACACATTCTAAAGGACTTGTAGTACTTTTATTATTAAACTCACTACAAATTGCATTTTGGTTATTCTAAGTGATACTTAGATTAACTATAATAATTTTCCAATTTATTTTCTAAACATTTGCAGATAGTTTTCATGAAGTATATTGATTTTATACTTGAAAATTGCTGAATTCACTTATCAATTTCATTACTGTAGTCAATAGTCAGAAATTTCTGCATAAAAATCAAATACATAGGAAATTGATGTGTAATGAGTAAAATCTTAAGTGTTTTCTTTCTGCCTTATTGTATAAGCAAAGTAATACTGATAATGAGTGTAATCGCAAACAGCAAACACAAAAGTAACCATTTAATCATTCTTCATTAAAATTCTATTAGTATTGAATTAGTTTTTAACTCTAGAAACCTACAAAAATTGGACTGTGAGTTTAGGGTATAAGTTGAGAAGGACGAAAAGTGGTACTATCAAATAAAATATACCGTGGCACCAGATTTGACATAGTGGTTATCTTAAAGTTAACTTTAAAGATTATATAAACTGTGTGCAACTCTTGCCAGGAAATGCATTTTTGTTACATACCAGTGTGCAAATGTCTGAAAATTCTTTCTGTGAGCTTATAACACAAACTTTTAGCAAATGCATCTTTTCCTTTCTTATCAATAAGTTTTTCATGCAGGAAAAGATGGAGTTTGTTATTTGGTTTATATTTAGCTTACAGTTATTCTTGATGATATATTCTTTATTATGGTTGATCAATGTTTATGTATTTGCTGTTTTGCAGTCTAACTTGAAACACTAAGTCCATTCATTTTAAGATAACTAACTGCAAACTACATACATATATGAAATGTAACTAAGTTAATGCATGTGTCTAATATATAAAGGATATTGGAGCATATATAATTTATTTATTAGAAGAATTCATTTTATAATTAGCTAATTTTCACATTTTGCTAGAGAATTTCCTTTTATAACTATGTTTTAAGGGATTTATTGCACAAAACATAATTTTTACAGTGACTGAAATTCAATAAATTTCATTTGTTCACTTGTTTTTTATGAAAAATAACATATAACATATTTCAATTATTTAGATACTTATAAACTGTGGAAACCCTGTAATATAACCTTAAGTTATCAACAAATAGCTGTATACTGTGTTACTTCCAACCTAAAGGAGCATGATATTTTATAGAGAGGATTAAAGACTAATCCTAGGAGATGCAATTCAGGTAATAATGACATATCTTACAATGAACTAACACTACAGGAGAATTATAAATGCCAAAATTGTATGTTCACACAGACACATATATACCCACATGCCCACACAAAAATTTTTAATGTCACTGCAGAAACCAAAAAGCAGGCAAAATTTGGAGATGGTTTATCCCTTTAAAAAGTGAAATACATACTTGTTCGCTTTACTCCTGAGGTTGTTGAATTTCAAGAGAAAGATATACATACATACATACACACACACACACACACACACACACACACATATATATATATATATATATATATATTTTTTTTTTTTTTTTTTTTTTTTTTTTAAAGATAGAGATACTGTAAGATGTTGCTCAAGTCTACCAGCCCAGCTGGAAGCTGATGAGTGAGATCCTTGCGAGGGGAATTTTGAAACAGGAATTCCTGTAAGCTTTTGATGACACCAAGCACTCAGTGCTCAGGTTAAAAAAATCAGAAATAATAAAATGACACTTCGTTTGAAGATTCCTTTTAATAGTCAAAACAATAAACATTATAAAAGTGTCAGATGAAAGACAGTAAAGTTATCAGAGTATCGGGCTGCCAACTGGTCTAATATGAATGATCATCAGCAGTTTATCAGTGACAGGGAAACGGACACCACAGAGTTCTGTCAGGTAATTGTAAGTATCTTCAGTGCATTAACCTGGTGAGAGGAAAAAGAATATCCACTGTTCAGTCAAATATAAACTCTACCCACATGTGATCACATGGTGTGATCATACTTTCGGATTTGCTTTTTTATGAAAGTAATTTATAAAATTTAGAAAAGATTTTATAAATTTGAGCATATTAAATATCCTAACCCAAACTTAGTATAAAGAGTAAGACCTTTCCTGGGAATATACTAGTTCTTATTTTTCTAAGATTTATGAATATGTACATATATGTGTCCTCAAAATGCTTTATAAGACAAAATATTTAGATTACTCCTACTGTCAGAGAAATAAAAATGAAACATTTTCTTTAACTTAAGTTTAGAAAATGCTAAATAATACAACATACATCAGGTACAAAATGCGTCAAAAAGAATTAAACAATGTTAAAGTCTTTAACCTTGAATAGCTATATGTATGAAATTTAAAGAGGTTTTGTATTGTTTATGCCTAAATTATTTTCTTGCTACACCATCAACTACATTAGAAAACTAGTGCTAACAACTAGTTAATATTTACATTCATAGAAAGGTATGCATGACAATGTATTTGTATCTTTTTTTTTTTTTTTTCTTAGACAAGATCTTGCTATGCAGTTCAGGCTGCCCTTGAACTCCCAGAGATACACCCACAAAAAATACTGAGACTCAAATTTTCTTCCAGTCTCTTTCCTTGCTTATTTCTACAGTATGAAACCTCTTATTTCTACAATATCAAAGCAAATGATCATAGCAATTGGACTGTAAACTGAAATACTGAATCCAAATAAGCATTCCTTTTGTTGCTGGTTTTAAGAATTTGGCACAGTGACAATATGGCAACACAATGATACATCACAAAATTACCCCAAAGAAAGTAATTATGTAATGATTTCAGTTGATGCAGAAAGGCATTTGACAAAATTGAACATTCATTAATGATTAAATCTCTAAAGACAATAGTTATTGAAGTAGATTGCCTGATCAGAATAAAGATCATATATTAAAGGCTTACATCAATATGATCAATAGGGAAAATCTAAGAACTTTTCTTAAAGATCTTATATAAGTAAAGAAAGACCACTTCCCTGAAAATTTTTACCAAGACAATTACTTTTTCTTGAGGGCAAGGATTGTTTGAAACAGGGTCTTGCTATTTAGTGCAGGCTGGTCTTGAACTCACTTAGGTAATGCAGTCTGGCCTTGAACTCATGGTGATTCTACTGCTTCAGCACCCCACATGCTGGGATTCCAGACATTTATAAAATCACTAAAAACCTAAAGTGGCAAAAGAAACCTTTGAAAAAAAGAACAAATCTGTAAGTGTCAAAAGTTCTAATTTTAATTATAGTTTAAAAATACAGTAGTCAAAATGCACAAAATAGAAAACAAAGCTCAGTGTAAATATGGAACATTAGAACAATAGAGAAGTCAGAAATACATATATATACACATATGCATATATAGATACTGAAAATGTGTGATAGATGACTAAAAATATTTGTATGTTTTTACTCTTACTTGGATCAGAAAAATTAAGCTTCATATTTTCTTATTTTAAATTTGCATTTGCCTTTACATAGGCAATAACTGGGACATTAACTTTTTAGTTAAGTTTTGGTTAAAGTATGTTAACGATAGATCTTTCTAAAGCATGCATAGTTTCACAAAATCTTGATACAATTCTTGTTTATATAAATATAATCTCATCAAAAGCAAGATTGTCTATCCATTTATTTTTTAGAATTTTGAGGAATTCTTCATTGAATATGAGGGACTTAAAAAACAATCTGAGCGAGAGAAAGGGATCTCCCAAGTGTTGAAAGAGAAGGGTACAATCTGGTTCATGTAGTCTACATTGCAGATCTCAAAAAAGCACAGGCAGTTTTATGGCATTAACTATTATTTTAGCAACACACAAAAAATTATGTTTTGTAAAATGAGCCGGACACTAAAGAATCCTCACCTTATTTTTGTACTTTTTTCAAGTCCAAGAGCTAGAAAAAGTGTTCTCAGCGAGCAGAAATAACATGGTTATCTGTTAGGATTTGAAGGAGAAACAGCTATCTGACATGAAGGAAATAATTTATATCTTATTTTGTATGATGAATATGCAGATTGTATAATAGTAATATTTCATAAAAATAATCACGCATGATCTTCAAATTTGTAGTGCATATGCATCATATATCCATTTTAAACCATTTTCATTTTTAAAAGTTGATTCTCATTTCTAAAATGTTTCTATTATTAGGTTTATATTTGAGTTTGCATTTCTTAAAAGAAACAACCATATGCTTTTTTAAGGAAACAAAGAATACAAAGATTAACATTGCATTTTCTTTTTTCCACACTTGACAGTCTACATTGATCAAGTATGCAGTAAATATTTGCAGTATTTAATGTAAAGATAGACACTTCCTATTCAAAATATGCACTAAAATATAAGTTCTTCTGCAAAATATGTGAACATTTTCATGAATGTATTCATTCACTAATTTTCAGTTTATTTTCTTTAAATATTTTTTGTATCTCTATTAATTAAAAATCTGTTAGGCTCCAGTTACATGGTAATATACATAAAATTATCTAGGTTGCCCTGAAAAAATTACTCCTGGAACAATCTGAATACAATGATTCCAATGGTAATTTTACCTGTTTATTTTGTTTTTACATTTGTAATTTAACCAGTGTGCAAATATTCAAAATATCAAAATCAAAATTTACGTATTTTAGTTATGCTACAATTTCTTTAATTTTTTCTTCCCATTCTGCTATTATATTAACAAATTTAAAATTTGTTTGAAAAGGTACCACATTATATAGATAAACCTAAACTTCCTTGCTATAAGCAAGGAAGATTTTATGAACTGTTTAATTAAAATAGCGTAAAATTACTTATGTTAATACAAGTTACAATTTATAGGGTATGTAGATATATCTCAAATTGTGCTTAAATGTATGTGAAAAATTACAAATTACAAATAAGCAAATTACATTAAAATTACATAAATTTGTATAATTTGATGTATTTATGTCTGCTTGATTAAGTGTGGAATATAAAATTACTTCTCAGCAATTTGTATTTCTGAAATTTTCACAACTAGCCTGCTACTTTAGAAGCAATATATGCCTATATACAGTATATGTAACATTTGAAGATCAAATTTCACTCAGATTTGTTATTTAGTTTAGAAAGATGAGCCAACAATATTAAACAGCTCATGAAATATACCATATATTTGAATTCTATTAATACAGGACCTTGGGCTGGAGATTTAGCTTAGCAGCATAAGCGTGTGCCTGGCAAGCCAGACATCATGAGTTTGATCCCTGGTACAAAAAAAAAAAAAAGGATCTTATGGCCAAAGCAAGTTTATATTAATAATTTTTATTAAACACCTGTACCTCAGGTACTACAATGAATTTTAAGTAGTGTATTTCTTGAAGATGATAATGAAACTAATAAAAATCAAAAATAATATCTCATTTAATCCTTCTACTAAACAGAGAAAGTGATAGGCAAACTATATATTTTATAGAAGATAGAATGCTATTTTCTGAAATTATTTAATATCTGTAGTAACTTAGAAAAAGTGATAGGGAACCTATATATTTTATAGGTGATAGAATATTAGTTTTCTAAACTGAGATAATAGAACACAAATTTAAATATAACAACAGCAAGAAATATTCTTGTGATCTGATATATGCTTTTAAATTATTAATAGTAACTCACAATAGTATTGCAAAAATTTGGACTTCAGAAAATAGTTGAAATTCTATTTCCACAGCTGTATATAAACCTCTAACACAAAGGTTAAAAAAAAAAAACCAAATAAAACAAACCAAAAAGTCCATTTGAAGGGAATCAATTTAAAACAAGCAACTGACCCAACAGACATACATAACTTATACTCACAGTACTGTTTAGATTAGATGATCCTTGTGATTTAATTCCTCTTTGGGGAATATCAAATGCATTAAGTTCATGCAGATTACAGAGAATCACTTTTCCCCCTATAAAAATAATCAGTGAATTCCGAGTAGACTTCAGCTTTGTAAAAGACAGCCACACATTCTTGTTGAGCATTCATTGTTGCACTGTGAGGAGAAAGGAGAGCAGGTCATGACTAAATTTCATGCTCCTGTGACCCGCAAAATAATTCACACAGTTATCAGGGCATTCATTCAATTTCCTTATTACCTGCCATCTGTAATACACAGATATGCTAGATTAAAGATCAACCTTCTAATTTTAAGCCCAAATAAACTCCACATATTTAATGGCAAAAATGTTTGTCATTATGTATATTCTGAAGTATCACTCTTGATCTATATACAGTATGTCAGAGAAAACTAAGTTTTTGAAGCAAAAGTTCTACAGATTCACAATTTAATTCACAAATTACATTTAAGCTACATTAGACTACACTTTCTTATACTTATATTTTATATTCTTATACTTTTCTTATATTTTATTATACTTTGTGGCCTAGCATCATAGTTATTGTGTGTGCGCAAATTAACAGAACCATTTGTGCACCCACAATGGGCCATAATGAGCAACAGTTACGGAAAGAGTTAAAATTTTGCCAGCACAAACACACTGCATAATAATCTACTTCTCTCTGACTCTGCTTTAAGACACACAGAGAACAAAAGTAAGTGAACACTCAATCAATATGTTCTTTGTAATTATTCTATTCCAATGAATGAAATACTCAGAAAACAGGACACGGGACGTGAAGTTCCCACGGAAGGAAAGAATGTAATGAAAATTTATCTGAAAGAACAACTTGGAGAGAAGTTGAGAGCATATCTCAGGGAGCTTTCACACTCATGAGCTGAAAAGCAAATGACAACAAACCACCATGATTTGCTTCGAGGAATTAACCTAATAGAAAAATTGAATTAAAGAGAGAGCACTTCAAAACAAGCAGCTGAACTGATGTTGTTACTGCACTTTTGAAATTTAAACTCCTGTGTGGTAAGTATTTAACAACAGCACTTTTCTAAAATATTTAACTATGTCTATGCCTGACTACATACACAAAATTCTAATTATATATCATATATTCTCATGAGAAAGATTTGATCTTTAACTGTTACTGTAAACCCATGCAATAAGAGTGCCTAGGTACTCAAAGGACAACATGATTTCCATTCAAACTATGCTATATAGTTTCTTTAACAAGATATTTAATTTTTAATGCAGCCAGATGCTAAGTTTATCCATAAAACTCAGCTAATTAATGCTGTACTTGGCCCTGAAGCTCTAACCATTGCAATCCCTCCTGACCCCCTTCATCCTAGGGATGGGACTCTACTACTTTTAGAACATGGCTCGTTAATTATTTTTACCCCACATAATCCTCCATAAGGTATATTTGTCAATAACTCAAGTGTTTATACATGAACATTTTTTAACTTCCCAATCAATAGATATAACCGTAGATTCCAACATGGCCAGTTAATGTACAAAGCAGAATAAGATTAGACAAGTGTTTTAACTTAAATGGCAGCATTCACTGTTATACTGGGGTAACCTTTAATGGAATGTGCTTACAGGATCCCACTAAATCTAACCACAAATGTGTTAGTAGGTTCTGACAGTGCCACAGCTTCCCTCAACCTCCAGTTATTCTGTCCTTTCATTAAAGTACTCTCATGCATCCAAAAATATTATTTTAAACTCACCAGCACTAACCCTTTATTCTAGCTATAAAGTGCATCCAACCGTGTCTGACTTTGTATCTTATCTATAAACACTCTCTTTTCTCCTTTCTCCTTATTTTCCCCCTCATTTCCCCTTTCTCTGTCCTTCCCTGTTTCCTCAACCCACATTAACTGTCAATAAATACAGCATAGTTTGGAATTGGCGCTAATAAAAGGGTGCTAATAATATTAAATGGTTTCAATGTTTATCACTGTTGGATGGTTAGATCTGTAGATGGTATAAGCTGTAGGAATCTCTACAGTAACAGTAGCTGGATACAGCCCAATTCAACTGAACAGAATAAAGTAGCAAATAAAAGCCTCTTGACAAATAAAGCTAAGATCACATCACTAGAAAACAGAACCTAACTAAAGAGATCTTCATACCAACAACACATTTTCACTGTATTTGACTTCAGCCATCAGCACATACACATACCAAAAAAAAAAAAAAAAAAAAAAAAAGAAAGAAAGAAAGAAAGAAAGAAAGAAAGAAAAACAGGAACATGAAAAAATAGGACAGAAAATGATTCCAAAGACTCCCAACTCTCTTTAAAAAGACCCAATGGGCACTGATAGGGTGGAAGTCAAACATTAGTGGGTGAGCAGCATGAAATGATTAAAATGGACACATGGAAACTCAGCAAGCTCAAATAATTTACAACCCACAAAATGGTTGAACTAAAAAACATGGTGACTAATGTATTTTGGCAAAAACCAAAAATTAAAAGGCCTGATCAAAGCTATTTCAAACATGAGTGAATACTTTACCAAAAAACTTGACTTCATGAAAAGATGCTAAACAGAAATCCTTTAGAGATAATGAATTCTACTGAATACGAGCAATGACGAACTTGAAGTATCAGACTTCAAGGATAGCATGGAAATAAAAGATGTTATACATACAGATATGTTAAAAATAGTATAGCAAGATTAGTAAGTGTTTGTTAGAGGTTGCTAAGACTAACTTAAGAAAAAAATGGAGTTAGAAACAAATTAAAGGATAGCACACAGAATATAAAATATCTGTTTAAAGAAATCACAATAAAAAAAATAAGGAAAACTAAACATATAAACTATATGAGGCTTACAGAACAAGTAATGATTCTAAGAAGATCTCCATTGCACATAATAATCAAAATTTGAGAATCTCAAACCAATGGACAAAGTCATAAAAGTTGTCAGAGAAAAGCCAAAGATCACTTGTAATTGTATTAAATAACGCTTTTTTTTTTTAAACAAAAACTTTAATACATTCCCACCAGCTTGAACCACCAATGTACAGGCATAACTGTTACATCAAGTAGTTTTCAGGGCTGGTAGTGAAAATGGATGTAATCAGTTTTATTGGTCTTTTTACTAATAAAATTAATACTAACTTGATGGGACAATCATGCATGTGCTGGTGATGATTGAAACCACTCAGCATTGAGACCTATGAATTATGGTCTCATCACAAACATAGTAAAGACTAGTAGAGGGTGGATTGAACTTTACCCATCAGTAGAAGTAAAAGTTTTTCAACCCAAACTAAAATGTACTGCAATGACCTTTTCAAAATGAACATAGGATAAAGGTATCCCATAACTAAAACACATCATAAGAAGTTCATAAACACTAAATGAATGCTCAAAAAAACCATCCATAATTTAGTCAGAGAAAAATAATGCCAACAATACCCCAAATTCTGATGGAATAAAGTATATTAAGCAGCATATTGGTTAAAGACAAAGGGAAAATTAAAGATGTCAACAGAAATAAGGCCATGTTTGAATGCATCAACATTTTTCAGTAATAACTCAATATAAATGTTCAACTATAAGAAAAAAGAGACAAATTTGTAGGCTGGATTGACCATAAAGCCCAGTGATTTTCTGGATAGAAGAGATGCATCAGTTTGAGAAAAACTCATATACTAAAAATTAAAAGATAGAAAAGAACACTGCATGCATCAGAACCTCAGAAAGAAAGTGGAGTATGAATTTCTCCAAGAAAATGTACTTGAAATTAAATTCATGAGAAAAGGAAAGGAATGGCAATTTATATTAGTCAAGGGAACAATACAATGAGAACAGATAATAATTATAAAGATATATGTACCATATATCAGTGAGCCCAAGTACATCAAGCAAATACTACTGGACATGAAAGATTACATATGCACCAGCACAATTGTGATGGGAGACCTACATACATCACTCTCCCAAACAGAGATATCAAGTAAACAAAAAATCACCAAAGAAATACCAAAGTTGCACTATACCACTGAACAAATGAAACTAACAGATACCTTCAAAGAGTTCTACTGAACAATAAAGCAGACATTATTCTCGGCAGTCTAGGGAACTTTTTCAAAAATAGAAGACATTCTAGTCCACTAAACATACAAAATAAGTACAAAAGAATAAAATCTTGCTACACACACAATTAGATCATAGCACAATGGAACTATAAATCAATTACAAAAGAAACCTCAAAACCATACAAATACAAGGATATTAAATAATATACTCTGAAATATTCAATTACAGAAGAAATAAAGGAATAAATCAAACACTGGAGAATCTAGGATACACAGTGAAAACAGAGTTAAAAGTGAAGTTTATTGCTGTAAACATCTAGATTAGAAAACCAGAGAAAGTTTTAAAAAAAACCAAAATTATATATTCACAGTTCTGTCAAAGAAAAACCAATCCAAACTCAAATTACTGCATGAGTGAACTCACAAGGATCAGTATGAAACTTAATTTTAAGAAAACAATAAAAGAATTAATGAATTAAGGAGCTGATTCTTTAAAAAAACAAAACAGACCAAATTTTAACCAAATTTAAAGGAAAGAATGAAAAACTCGTATCAATGCATTTAAAAATTAAAAAGTCAAAATGACACCAGACACTAGCAAAATCCCAGCTGACTAGCAACTAGAGTGAAAATTGTGACTCCAGAAACTTGGAAAGTCTTGAAGAAATGGTCAGATGCCTAGATGCATATAAAGTACCAAAACTGAACCAAAAAGACAGAAAAACCCGAATAGTGCCTAAAGAGACAATGAAATATATAATCAGTGATATTTTTTCCTTAACACTTTTCAAAAAATAGAATAAAATTAGTCAGTTGCATGAAACTGATGAAAATTCATTATATTTTGAGGTGGGAAACAAAAATCTTCTATACATAAGAAGAGGTAGAAACATTTTTTGGCATAAATATGTAGCTTAAAATCACAAAGAATACTGAAAGTTGGATACTGTATAACCAGAGAAACATTTTTCTATAAAGCTAAATCTCCATCCAGTTATGAAGAGCAGCAGTGCTTCCCTACATTCATCAGCACAGAGTAGTGAGCTTGCAGTAACAAGTAAAATTGGGAAAGCAATGTAAACCA